CTGTCATTTAACTGACGGAAGGACTATTTTGGTACCAAAAATGAAAGTTCGAGGATAATTTTGGTACTTTTTAAAGATAAGGGACAATTTTGGTACCAAAGTGTAAAGTTGAGGGACTAAAATGGTACTTAAACCTATAAATAAATATATGTTAGTAAGGTTTCAAAGGGTAAAGGTGATCAAGAGGTGTAGGAGGAAATTGTTCCTTGGGTTAGAAACTTAATTCTGTAATTAGAAATCAAATTAGTTACATGGAGCATATTGTGGTCTTGTTTATTTATTGATGTGGTATAGGTTCTAAATCACCTTAACCACCTTCAGTCCTCAAAATTCTAGCTTGTTATATACCTACAAGGCGAGGTGAGTAAAAATGATGGTAAATGCCATTGGATTTTAAGGTAAAGGCTTTTACAAGCATATTTTAAATTATTTTTGAGATTGTTGCGAGATCAAACCCAATTTTTATTAGCACTTAAGCATGATTGATGTGAAATGAAAGTTATTATTTTTATTGAACTAAACATGCCTACATGGAGTTTTCTTATTTGTTCTAGAAATTGGAAATTGGTTTGTGAATTTTAAATTTTACTATTAACTCCTATATGATTTTATCTCCAATATAGTAATGAATTCTGTTATCCTACCAATGGAAGTTAAATGCTGGCACATGTCGACATGTATTGCTGTAGAGCAGGTTCATCCAGCCAATGGAAGAGTACATTGGCATTTTCTGCTATCCAGCCAATGGGAGAGTACACCGATATTTTTGTTATCTAGCCAGTTGGGAGAGTACATTGGTATTTCTGTTATTCGGCCAGTTGGGAAAGTACATTGGCCATGACTAATTGAGAGGACTACTAAATAAATTTCAATATGCATAAATGATTTATAACTATGATTTTCTTCCTGTTTGAAATTAAAATGTTTACTTGGCATGCTTTAAAATTTTAGTGAGGGCTATCCATATTTTTATTTGTTGAGTTATCTCTCATAGTTTTTCCTCATTCACCATTTTGGGTACTAAAGCCAAAGATGTGGGAAAACTGAGGGGAGTGACGAGCTAGAAGGCTAGCCATTTGTATTTCAGACTTAGATTATCTTGGAGTTAAGCTAGCCACTTGTATTTTAGGTCATAGATTTTGAGATATAGATCATTCTTTTGTAAACTAGATTTCATTTTGAGATACTAATATAAGTTTATGTGGATTGCTAATTATGAATTTAGCAAGTTTCAAGCCTTATGCAGTTGTGGGTTCATTTCACAAGTGTACGGCATCTGTTTTGCTCTCAATTTTAGGGGCGTGACATTCACCCTAATGGACAAGTTGTCTCATGAGTGTTTTCAGTGGATCTACCCACAAAATCCCAATGCAAGAATGCAACTATATGATATGCATGCCAAGAAAATTTAGGAATTAAAGTTCAATTAGATACAAAGTCTCAAATATTCAAGAGTTCTCATACACTCACTTAAAGTCAAGTACTCCATCCTATTCTTCACACCACTTAACAAAAGATTTAGCTCGTGAGCACTTAGTGTGTCTGTGGAAATTCTTAGTAAGAAGTCTCGAGTTTAGACCTTTGCACCTTAGCACTTATTATTAATTTTTCTTTTTCTCTTTTTTTTTAAATATTTTTTATGTCGAGTTTTCTTAAGCTTTCTAAGTTACCCATGTAACTAGCTTTTTGCCAATGACTTCAAAACCAATTGGCTTTAGGAAATTAGGTGAAAAAAGACCCCTAAGAACATGCTTACTCAAGTAACAAAGGCCATGAAACATTTGACTTATGTTTTTTTTTTTTTTTTTTTTTTTAGCCATACAACACATTTTTTCCCTAAGTTAGAACTTGTCTTTTGATGCGAATACTAACATTTGTAATGAAAGCACTCGGTTACTCAACAAATCATAAAGTCAAAGTGCTTTGCATACTCATATTTCAAGTCATTGTTTGATGTGAAAGTTGACATGGATCTCATGCCTAACCCCCAGTTACTAAGTAATTAGAAACATTGGAGTAGAAATTAACAAACTCTTTTGTGTGTTGGCTTCTCTTCCTTTTTTTTCTTTTTTTCTTTTTTTTTTGGTTCTTTCTTTTATGTGTTTTTTAGGTGCTACCAAGTCTTCTCTCTAAACTTCTCACTACAAACTTGTGCTCAAATGAAATAAAATACTTAGGAATTTAAACTTCATCACAATGGTGCTATTTTTCAGATTTTGTATCTTCTCTAAAATTAAAAGATTTTAGAAGTTTTTTAATTTTTAACTTAAGAATATTCAATTCCTTGACACTAATTGGACCAACTCCTAAAAAAAATTACCCTAATTTCTCAAAAGGAAAAAAATGAATGTCATGTAAATATGAATGCAAATTAACATAAGAATGGATGCATAAAAGTTATTCTCTCCCCAAACTTAAATCAAACATTGTCCTCAATGTAAAATAAAAGTAAGTGAAAAGAGAAATTTCCTAGGTTTTGCACTTGAAGACTTAAAATATAAGTTCTGAAGTTGAGTTCTTTTCAATTGGAGACTTCAAGCATATGTATTTCCATAATCTTGTTCCCCAAACTTTTTCAACGACCTGGCCACAATAAAGAACAAAAATTTATAAGCTAAAATACTTAACTAATCAAATAAATCACCTCTTAACTGGACCATAAAGAGGAAAAAAATAAAAAAAATCTAAACTATTAAAATTGAAGAAAAAGAAATAAAAGAAAAAAATTTAGGCCAAAGCCCCTATTTGCACCCTCCATTTATTGTTTTTTCGCGGTCAACACCTTCCAGAATTTTTCCTCCCTATTCACACCCTCCACTTTTCAAAACTCGTGAAAAACCCAATATTTTAACGGGCCGTCATGGCACCGTTAAAAAATGCACTACGTGGCACCCAGAAATTGACGTGGCACATGCGCCGTTTTCTTATTCGTTAGGTTCAGGTGTGGATCTGCTTTTTGATGATGTGGCGTCCACGTGTTCAGTGGGGCCCACTGCGCGGGACTTTTCCCGCTTGTCCCCGCGTCCCACCAAAAAAAAAAAA